ATAAAAAAGACCACTGTAATTGAAAAAAATCTTTAATTACCTACATGTTAGGTATCCACCCTTGTTAGGTATTAGATTTATTATATGCAGAATATTAATCTAATTGCTCTTGTGAACTATCAACCGATAATTTTTTCTTTGAACATATATGAACATCATAGATCTCTTTATACAGAAATCCTGCAGTATCTAAACTAAAATGAAAACGAATAATACATAGCTATTAGGTACTATAGTGATCTAAATAGGTATGCTAACTTATGTTAAGCTTTCTTTTATGTTATTATTATCTATCCTGTGAAAATGCTCGCTTTGTTGCTGGGCGAGAACTTGATGTGGGAAAAAAACCCGTTTCGTGCATACTATAGTATCACGCCGCGTCGTTTGCCTATGTACCTGTGTATTATATTATATACTTATGTAGGTAAATTAACTCTGTTCGCCGCCGCTAGATATCGCTAGCTCCGTTATGACGCTAGCCAAGTTAGCATCCATGCCGCACGCGGCACGCCCGCCACCCAGCCATGCCACGAGCCCATGACGTCATAACGATTGCTTCCATTGCCTAATATGCGCCCTCTGGCGGTCGAAAAGGTTAATATTTTTTGCGCTGAAACTCCTTACCGCATCTCCCCCTGTCGAAATAATATTGTATGCATGGATACCATGGACTGGGCTATTGGGTGAATAGATATTCGCGAAGCTATTTGAAATGAATGGGCAGACGCGCTTTTAAAAACTCAATAGGTACGAACACGTTCCCGGGACAATTTAAAGAGATGTATTTTACGTGTCTAGCGATGGTTAGTATTTTGCTATAAATATTACTGTAGGCACTTAGTGTGAGTTGCATAGCATAAATGTAATATGCTAATAACTAGCTCCTCCTGCGCGGTTTTACAACTGCTTAGATCCTATTGAAAATAGGTCGTAGCACGAGGTTTCTATAGATCTATAAATAAACGCAAAAAGAACCAAAAAATTGAGTAATAGTGATTAGCCTCCGTCCGTTGGGGTTCGGTCAACTAACCAACCAAATTTTTCAGCTTTATAATGAGTTAGTCATGTCGGAATATGTATGTACCTACCTCCATGGTACATAAAGTGTACTACTATGCTGTTGCATTCGTATGCTATGTGCATACCTATGTGCAGAAGCGTGATGATATTTGCCTGAATTTGCGAGGTTTTGCGTCGTGCTATGTTGGTTCATGATCGTAATTGTTAGAAATTATAAGTAACTATAATATAACTCGTAGGTTCAGGTACCCAATTAGGTACTTGTGTAAATGTTTACTAATAGAAGTGTAAGACCATTAAAAGCAAAAAAAAATAAAGATAGTATTAAATTCGGTATATTAAATAAGTATTATTTGTTTGAATTGTTTGATCTTTATTCTGGAAATTTTTAACATTCGTCGGATTATAGGTACAAGTTACCCTTCTTGATTCCCCATGTATAGGAGGGTGGACCGGTGTTCCACACTCTTTTGTATGGTTTTTTGTCGATAAAAATGTACAACACGCGGTTAAAGTTACTAATGGAAATTCAATCCTTCCAGACGTTTACTATGATACTTTACTTACTTTTTTACTACTAACCTACGTATTAGCGGGGTAAAGTTTGCCTATGAGAGTTCGTTTTGTGTCTAATTCTAATTAGTAATATCTATTAGATTCTTGATTTGTAACTCTAACTAAACTAGATACATATTAAGTAATTTATTTATTCAAAATCCTAAACGTGAGGACCTATAATTGGCTCATTGTTACCTACGCCTATTGTTATTTTTATAAGCTGTAAGTCCTCTATGAATTATAAATAAATACATAACTTGTCCCTTAATTAATGATCAACCCAGTTTTTAAATTTTCGAAGAGTTGTGCTTTGTATAGCTGTGCACATCGACGCCGATGGACGTCGAAGGTTGTGCCACTCACTTATTTTTTGAAGTTAGAGTAAAGTAGGTAGTTACTTAATCTAATCACTTCACAGAAAATCGACGTGAGGTACCTAGTGTCTGCATTAAATTCCAAAATTCCAACCTGAGTGAGTATCTTGACCCCAAACCGTGTTTACGTTGCCATGACATGACTGCAAAAAGGTTGAAGAGATTGTGGAGTTCATCAAGATAAAAGCATAACTCCATCTGAAGGATGAGCAGCTGCACTCTCAACTGTGAACACAAACACAGACTGGTGAACTTCAAATCCTTTGTAGTCAGGGGGCCAACCTTTATGAAAGTGACTATACACGTACAATACTCGAAAAATCCATCGATTTCATTATGCAGGTACTGACGGATGTGCTCATTACTAGCACGAAAGCATGCTTTTATTGAACAAGTGCTCATTAGTAGCACGTGTGTAATGTAATGAGCATGCTTATTTAGAGCGATTCTGTCTATCGAATTTGTGCGGGACTATTCGCAAATGATTTGTATAACTGTCGAGATCTTCGCTTCACATCTCTGCCAACAATCGATTACTTGCTCCCAGTGATTCTCTTCTGTTTATGCAATTACGAAACCAAATTCTCCTTAAAATATTCTTACACAATTCCGTTGCAAGCAATATGATTATTTTATTAAGTTCTGTACGGATAGCACTGTTACTATATACTTGTACCTACATCCATTTTTGCCGAGAGCCGCCGCAGCATGTATATTTAGGAGTATGCTTAAAACAAGTATGATTATTGCTGGCAAATGTAAACAGTTTGCAGAGCATGCTAATTTTAAGCATGCTTATAAGCATGCTTTTTTTTGAGTACGTCTGTCAGTAGGTACCTATTAATATATCGATGTCAAAGTTTGAGAAAGTTAGGTGGGTATGTAAGTTTAATATAACACTTCAATCCACCTACCGTATTGTCTCTGCAACACCTAAAGGTTTACGGTCGACTAACGAACATGCCTGTGACAGTATGTTCGCCTCGTATCTACATTGTGAATAAAATAAGAAGAGAAAAGCGGCGTGTATGCACAGTGTAACTATGCGACGGCGGTACCGTACCGCATACGTTAATAAACATACAAAGTCATAAACGCACAAACTTTCGCATTTATAATATTAGTTAGTAAGACGCTTCATGGAAGTTACAATATGTCGTACTATTATTAATTAACGATACTGTAACACGAGCTAGTGATGGTGATAATAATGAATGTGTGCTTCTTTCCTCAAAAGACTTACACAGAATCTTCGATCATAAGTCAAACAGAAAACCAGACCATCTCTGGGTGGGGTAAGCTAAAAAGTAGGTATTACCGTAGTACCGTACCGTACCTACTTACTATATTGTAGCCCGCGAAAAATTTCAAATGACATATTATAGTTCACTCGCTTCATTCTTTTCATCCCTTCCATGCTTATACCTACTCATTCATTTGACATTTCATTTTCTCGTCCTTCTTTCTTCATTCATTACTTCATTCGCATTCGTTCAACGTGGAGTGATCAAGTTAGCTGAGGTAAGATTATTTTTACTACATAACTAAATAGGTAACTCCTTTTTTTAGATAAATTAATTTAAATAATTGAGGTATAACAATAAAATAAACATAAGGATTAATAATTTACTTCCATAATTTAATTTAACCAATTTTTAATATCGCACGTCATAGTTTTTGTCTTACCACGTGCAACTGTTGCAGTTTTTCTTAATTCATGTTTTATCTATATTATTGCATATGATCATTGATTAAACTAATATCAGTCTGTCCGATTTGGGATTGTGATAACGATTTTTTACTTATGTTTGCCTACCACAGCTTTACGATAAGATTATTTGGTTAGGCCATGCGGTCGGCATGTCTTGTAAAAAGCAAACAGTATCGATTACTATAAATTGAGGTGTTATCTGCTACTTGGATTATTTATATCTTGATAAAATGATGACAATAACACGAGCCGAAATGTGTTTATATGATTAACACGTGATATTAAATGATAGGTCTGATTTTAAGCTGTGACACATTAAATTGCTCTATTTATGATATAATACTGATTATTGTATTTATTTTAATTTCAGATATCTTCTTATATGCGGGTTATTTATGACAGGTGAGAGATGTTTTATTCATGGATCTACAAAGCTCCTCGTTCAATCATCTGAAATAGGGCAGAATCATTTTTGCCCACAATTTTAACTTCAATAGCCACATGGATGAAAATCTTCGAATTTTTATACTTATGGCTCACAAATTGCATAACATAACGCCTTTTATCCTCGAAGGGGTAGGCAGAGTTGCACATTACGGCACTTAATGCCACTATACAATGTAACACCCACTAATTAAAATTTCCCTCACAAATAATGGTTTACTAATGCAGATGATAGTCCGAATGTTTTGTATTTTGTAACAGACACAATTTAAATGATGAGAATCAACATGAGCCAATAAATGTTGTTATGATAACAACGTGATATTAAATGATAGGGCTGATATATAATTCAATTAGGTTTATTAACTTATCACTGATAATGCAACTTCTAACTTGTATATTTTGTTTGCAGGTAAGCCGTTGAAGTTTATTTTAACTAAGATTAAGTTATTTTTAAGTAATTTATTGTAATATAATTAGTATATTTTTCTATAATTTTTTTTGGAAATAAACTTTGTTTTTTATTACTATTGTATTGTTTATTTTCATTCTGTCTATCCAGAGAGAGAAAATCACATTTTACTGAAAATATGGCCAGATTTATCTATGAAAAAATTACTGTTTCGTCAATCTATAAAGAACAATAGGTTTTTTGGGTAGTTAAAAGAAACATCAAAATCTTTTACTATTCATTTATTGTAATTCTATCTAATAATTCTATAAAAGTAAACGGGTCTATAAGTAAATCTAAATAATTATTAATTTTATTTACAGTATTTACACTTGATTCTCTTAACTTAAAATCAGCCTTTTATTTTTTATTGCTATGTGCCTACTAAAACTATGCAGTTTATATTTCAATCATCTTGATCCTTGCTAATGACGGATAATAGTTAAACTGCTGATGGTGGGTTTCTAGGATTTTGTTCCACAACATTAGACAAGCGGATGGTAATATCTTGCAGTGCCATATTCGGTAGGATGAAGTCTTCAATGTTGGTAGCAATGCTTGATGGTCTGTCGAAGGGGAAGCCCATGGAACGGCGGTCAGGGTATTTCTTGTCCTTCAAACCACAGAAGCTGGATGCTTCAACGCAACTCAGTTGGTTACCGTCAGGTTGATCCACCTATGGAAATAGATACCGCATTATGTACAGATTATTCTACATACTATTGAGACAACCCTATATATATTATAGGTGGCTTGGTACACTAGAAGTATGGGAAGTACTTACGCTGTCTAGGTCGTAGTTAGAAAGCATAACGAAGAGTTGGTAGGCAGCTCCAGCTTCAGTGCCCTTGGGGACGAGCATGTGCTGAGGCCATCCACAACCGCAGAAGTTAAACTCGGCAAGACTGGTGCGGCGGGGGTCGCTACCCTGCGGCGAGAGGTCACGGAAGGTCTGCTCGAATGGGATCGTCACTGAAGACTCCGTGGAATTGCGGGTAATGGTGTTTTGACCGGCATTCACTGGAACGATGTATTATTTTAGTATTTGAAGACATTACCAATGCATGAGGCAGGTAGCCTAATAGTTAGCTTTGGTATTTACTTACATGGTTGCACAAATCGGTCCATTTCAATGAACATCTTGCGTTGATCGGCGAGAGACCAAACCAAGTTACGTTCATCAAATTTGGGCGCTATAAAGATACGAACAGTTGTCCTACGAGCACTGCCAGTGTTGTTAATGTTAATACTGTAAGTAGAATAATAAAATATTAATGAAGTACCTACCTAGATAGGTAATTTATTCATACCTTTCATTCAAGTAAATAAGCAAGTAAAGAGCATTTCGCTGGTAGAATCTGAAGAACTCTTGGAATTAATTAAAATAGTGAGGAAGTAGGACTTTAGGTAGTAGAAGGTAATTCAATCTCTACTGTTATCCTGTTTGAAAATAAAATTAATACTCACACATAACGGAAGGGTCTGTTGTTAAGATGAGTGAAACGGGCGTATACGGCACCACGGTCGGAGAAGTCCAAACCTTTTGAAAGGTCCACATCACTCGACATCCAGAATGTGTTGAGTGTGTTGGGCTGGCCACCAGCAGTCTCTACTGATACTGATGTCACTTGGACACCGGGGTTCTCAAGCTAGAAGACATATACAAAGCATAATATTAACACCTTGCAATCCGACTGTTATACCATCCATCTACCGAGTTAAAAGTATCCTTAGGTAACCGAAGGGTGATAAATATCCATACCTTTTGATAACTTCTCATTTACAGTATTATTATGCCTATATCATCTATTTGAATTTAAATTAAAACTGACTCACCTCTGAGCGAGTGTAGGGGCGCACGTACGCAGACTCCTTGTGCCTCTGGCAGGTGTCGTCAATCCACGCGTGCCAGCGGTAGAAGAAGGGATCACGCATGGTCGTCGCTTCATCAGCAATGACACCAAAACTTTCCTGAAAATTAAAATTATTCGAGATTTATGAGTCACATTTCTTGAAGTAGATAGGTAAAGGATTTCATACTAAAATCATATAAAATTGTTATTAATCCGTATAATTTTATCAGTACTGCTAGGTGGCCTTAGTATAATTACTATATAGGTACGCAAGGTGATGTGTGATATCCATTTAACGTAATTTAATGGTCCGCCACTTACGAGGTAACGGTGAGTGGGGTCGTGCATGTAGGCGGCGAAGCTGTGTCCGTTGTTGTGAATGCTTCCGTACAGCTCCCTGTTAGGGGACAGGATGCTGGCCTCCAGCATGTTACCCAGAGTGTCGATGTCCAACTCAGCTGAAGAACCGTCCGCCTAGAATGATTCACAAGGTATAAAACGTCTGGGTACCTATTCACATTGTGGGGATTTCATAACTAAATTTTAGTGTTGTGGTTGTCATGCTATTGCTATAACTAATAAGTATTACTGTGAGGAACTTGATAGTATAGAACTATATAGTGTTTGACACGTACTTTCGTCACCCTACCAGTGGAGATGGCCTCCTCAACGTTTCTCCTCCATCTCTCCATGTCATTGATGGTAATGTTAAGTCCGTCGACGGGACGGTTCAAGTCTTGCCAGTACATGTTGGCTTGCCGTGGTGGCCAACCACGCGCTGATGTAAGACTGTCCAGCTTCGGGAAGTAAGCCTCCGGGATTGGCTCCCTCCAGTTGCTGAATTTCTTTACTCTCTTCAGAGAGTTGTTGAGACGTTCACAGTTGTAACTAGAGTAAAAAAAGAGAAAATGTTAGTTTACACGGTGAAATTAGTCCATGGTGGAGAGGTAGGACCACCAAACAAAGTGGGTAGATAAACACTAGACCTACGTAAGTACAATTTAAAAGCTGTAGGTACTTCGAGCTTAGCTCATTTTCGGTAATCTAAAAACATCAAAAATACCTACTTATATAGGTAATTAACTTAGTTAAAATATTTACCGAGCAATGAGTTGTTGATGCATGTAGAAGAAGAGCTCTCCACGACGATCTTTAGCAACAATAGATCTCTGTGATGCAGTGAACGGGTATACAAGATGCCAATGCCAGTGATGTAGGTTGACACCAATGTCTTCACGCCAGTAAGCTAAACGATGTTCTTCTTCCAAATCCGTGGCGGTGTAGTCCCTTGGGATGATGATCGGGATTCGCTAAAATAAATGGCGAGGAATCTAACATGATCAACATTTCAAATCTATGAAATCTAGTGTTAAGTTACATATCTTACAAATGTACCTAGTTACTATTAATGAAAAAGCAATAGATCTCGAGTGGGTAGGTAAGTACATTTGTTACAATTTGGTTAAAATAATTTAGCTATCTATATTACTAAAACAACTGGGGTTACCGATAAATCGAATACTTCTTAATTTGAAAAAAAAAAATGCTGTCTTATACCTTTCTTGCATCAAAAACTAATGATTTTAAGTTCTAACCGGTGAGCAAATGATTTAATATTTTAATGTGGTTTGAAATATTATTTTTCGTGATAAAACTTTTGCGTGAAAAGTAACGGTTTGACAATGACATTTCAGATTTTCCTCGTCGACTATTCATTATACGCATCGTATGTTTAGATTTAATTCAAAAATAGTAATAATTAATAAAGCACCTCCCTTATAATAAATGTCGAAAGTTTTTAAAGTTACATTAAATGGTGGTAAGTTATTTTTTATGACTTAAAAGCCGTTTCTGAAATTATTTATTTCTGTCGAAACGTTGAATTTCATAAATTGACATTTAGACACGTTCTTACAAACGGAACGTTAATTCATGCTAAAAGTCACGTAGGCCACCGCGCGTGTTTATATTTTGAATAAAATACTAACCTGTAAAATAATGTTTCTCGTCCACATAAGGCTTTAATTATTAAAGGAAATGTGTATATAGTATTCACAAATATGGAAGATTTTGGTTTAAGTCCAGGCGTTGTCGTAGTACGCGCAAAACCAGAAGGTCAAAGAAAGACTTTCAAACCAAATATACGTGCAGTAAACAAAATCCCTGCTGAATTATTGAATGATCCTATAATAAATAAAGCATGTGAAGCCTTGCCACAAAATTATAACTTTGAAATACACAAAACTATATGGAGAATAAGATCATTGGGGTCAAAGCGGGTCGCCCTTCAACTACCTGAAGGTAATGAGAAAGTGAAATAATATAGATCATATTGTTTGTGTTACTAATAACCTGATATTAAACTTTTATAATTTATTACAGGTCTAACGATGTTTGCTACGACATTGTGTGATATAATAGAGACTTTTACTGAAGCTGACACAGTCATAATGGGCGACGTAACGTATGGGGCGTGCTGCATCGATGACTTCACCGCTATAGCACTTGGCGTTGATCTGCTAGTACATTACGGACACTCTTGTTTGATACCAATAGATCAGACATGTGACATCAAGGTACTCTATGTATTTGTTGATATTAAGATAGACCCATCACATTTTATGGAAACTGTTAAACTGAACTTTCCTAAGCAAACTCATTTAGCTTTAGTTAGTACAATACAATTTGTTACAACCTTGCATTCTGTTGCTAAAATACTTAGAAGTGAGGAATATACTGTGACTGTGCCACAGTGTAAGCCTTTATCACCAGGGGAGATCCTGGGTTGTACATCTCCTAAGTTAAATTCTGATGTAGTGATATACTTAGGTGATGGTAGATTCCATTTGGAATCTGTTATGATAGCTAATCCAAAAATACCTGCATTCAAATATGACCCTTATGAGAAGAAATTTACTTCAGAATTGTATGAACATGAAAGCATGCAAGCAAATAGACATAGTCAAATCCAAATAGCTGAGAAAGCAAACAGTTTTGGCCTTATACTTGGAACATTAGGGAGACAAGGCAGCACTAAAGTGTTAAGTAATTTGGAAAAGCAAGTTAGTAACTCTGATAAAAAGTTTGTGAAGATACTTCTGTCAGAGATTTTCCCTAGTAAATTAGCATTATTTGGTCTGGATGCTTTTGTTCAAGTGGCTTGTCCAAGATTGTCCATTGATTGGGGAACATCATTCCCTAAGCCACTACTGACTCCATATGAGTTCTCTGTATCACTAAATAATAGTAAATGGTTAAAAGATGATGGGACATATCCCATGGATTTCTATTCTAATGATAGTTTGGGGCCTTGGACACCTAATTATAAGCCTGTCATGTGTTCAGAATCTGACAAGCAATGTGATAACTGCTGTGGTGGTAAGGATAAGAAATAAACTATGTAACTTACCGGCACATTCTGCGGCAACACAGCGGTCACCTCACGGGCTCTCTGGAACACTTGGGAGTCCATGAACTTGGAAGGGAAAGTCTCTGCAAAGTTCTGGATTGGCACATTCTTGGTGTCATCACTATAACATAATAAATAGATGTTAATAATCAAACTAACTCCCAATATGTATAAGCATCTGCTATGTAGTTAAGCCAGAATACATGTATAAGTATAAACAACTAAAGATAATATAAAAGCCTATGTATTTATTGAAAGCATTTGCTTTTACAAACTGATAATATAATTTATTTTGACAAGTTTTTATTGAAAGTTGAATTATACTAATAATTGTGTTAAATATGGACAATAGTAAAACAGTGTAGTACTTTATGGTATAATTTATGTTTAGAATAATTATGTTGTAACATTATTTATGTTATACTATTGACTGTTGTCTTACCGGTGCATCAGTGCTACTGAGTAGCAGTAGTTGAAGAGCTGTGGATTGAGGTTTGCTCTCGCGTAAACACATGTTGACAGGAAATCTTGCAGCTGATTCAGAGGTACATCTGTATAAATAAATAATAGTTTAATAAGTTAGACACTATTAATATTATTACTTGATTCTTCTGTTTCTAAGTTGATCTTATCCTACTTCCTTTCTTTGTATATATTTTACTTTACTATCTTCAATCTTTTTTTCAATGTGCTTCTCTCTTTCCATGATCATGTCAATCACAGATACTTAGTTATTGTTAATAAATTTTTGATAGCACTTTTTGTTTTATCTTGAATCTTAAAAGTAGGTTTGCTTATTCCACTTATATATATAACCAATCCAACTTCTATGGAAATGAAAATGAAACTACTTACTCATGAAAGCATCAATGACTTCAGTGGCCATTTCCTGGTGTTTTGGCAGGAAGAGTGAGAAGTCTGCATCACTGGGCAATTGTGATGCCTTTGTGAACGCAGGGTAAGAGTCCAAGGTCTTGAGGGGGATTTTCTCAGTGGCGTCGTCACCGAAACGGTCGTTTAATTCGACGCCATTGTTTGCGTATTCTGGAGGCTATAAATGTAAAGAAACATTTATTATTAAGAGGAGAGACAAGTGACTTGAGTTCTAGGTGAATGTTACGGTCTCGCGACTCGGTGTTCAAAGTGATAAAAGATAGAATTATTTATTTATTTATTTATTTATTTATTTATCAAGGACAACAAACAGCAGTATATTAAATATAACACAGGTGAGTAAAATAATAGATTTAACAAATACACTCCTCACGACGTTGCCACGGATTACCATAAATGTACTTAGCAAACACAATGGGGCAAACTTGAAGCTACAAACTATACAAACATAGGATAAATTTAAATTACAGAATTACTTTTTACCTGTACCTATCTATTATATATTTTTACCTACCTATATATTATATACATATATTTTGTGCACTATATGAATGTGAAACACAAATAACATGTTAAAAAATAAAATTAAAAAGTCTGGAGTAATTACATTAAGGATCAGAGTATTATACCTCTAGTGGTCGTTCTTTTAAAATGTTAATGATTCGCTGTCGAAAAGTGTTCTTGCTTAGAAATAAGATATCAATTGATGCAAACCTTTTATTATAAGTGTCAACCAACCGATGCATAGGTGAGCGAGCACCTGAATTGGTATGACGGAGATTAGTTGCAAACATGTTCCGTGAACGCACTTCTCTGCTGTGTACTGAGCGAGGGACCAGGTAGCACAAACCATTCACAAGATCAGAACAGTCAAAGTTGTTGCGGCATATACTGAAGAGGGTCATCATTTCAAGGAGTGTTCGTCTAGATTGCAGGGACAGGATATTATACTTTTCAAGCAATAATTGGTAGGAAAGTCTTTTACGAAAACATCTGTAGTGCATCGCACGGAGGTATTTACGCTGGACTAGTTCCAGTATTTCTACGTATTTTTTGTAGAAAGGATTCCAAATAGGCACTGCGTACTCTAGTTGTGGCCGGATAATTGACTTATACAGATATAAATAAGTGGAAGGGCGGTGGAATTCTCTAGAAGCTCGCATTACAAAACCGAACATTTGATAGGCTTTATTGATTATTTTATTCACGTGCGCATCGAGATGAAGCTTGGAGTCTAACTGGACTCCAAGATCGCGTAGACAGGTAACTTTAATTAAGTCAGTGTTGCCAAAATGATAATTAAATTTGGTTACTAGTTTCTTTTTTGTAAACGTAATACTATGACATTTGGAAAAACTAAGCTGAAGTTTGTTGCAAGAGCAGTATTCTAAGAAACGATCAAGGTCCATCTGAAAATCAATACAGTCAGATTGATTGGTAATATTTTTATAAATCTTTAAATCATCTGCGTAAAGGAGAAATTTAGAATTTACAAAACAGGAATTAATGTCATTAATAAATATAATGAATAACAATGGTCCAAGAATGGATCCCTGTGGGACTCCCGATGTGACCTGAATAAGACTGGACTCATAGCCATTTATTACCACTTTTTGAGTCCTATTGGTGACATAAGAAGCAAACCAACGCAGCAGGTTTCCTCTAATGCCATTAAAAGCAATCTTGTCAAGTAATAACCTGTGGTCAACTTTGTCAAAGGCCTTCTGGAAATCAGTATATACCGCATCAACCTGCTGCCTATTATCAAGGCTGTTAAACAAATGTGACGTAAAAATGAGGAGGTTACTCACGCAGGACCTATCCTTTACAAACCCATGCTGTTCTTTTAATATCACATGGCGCAAGACGGGGTAGATCTCGTTATGAACCAGTCTCTCAAAGAGTTTAGACAGTGCCGACAACAGAGAAATCGGCCGATAAGTAGACACGTCATCTTTTGAGCCATACTTGTGGATCGGAATAATATTAGCACATTTCCAGATCTCTGGGAAGGTACCACTAGAGACACATTTATTAAATAAAAAATATAGTGGAACGCATATTGTGTCATAGGTATTTTTCAAGAAAACCGCGGGAATACCGTCAGGGCCAGGTCCTTTGGATGCATCTAATGATTTAAGTTCACTTTGAATCTTGTCTACAGAAAATTGTAAACTGCAGATATTAATATCATTATCGGAAGTAGCGGGTGGTGGTTTCCATGAATTATGGTTGAATGTAGAGGGTTCATATACTGAATGGAAGAAATCAGAGAATAGATTACAAATCGTAGTGGGATCATTCGAAGATTGTTGTTGGTAGTATACTATGGGAGGAATCTTGTTGCCGGATTTACGGCTAGACACAAATGACCAAAATGCTTTGACATTGGTAGACACGCCATCCTCCACCGTATTTATATATTTCTTATAGCAAGAGGCGACATCTTTTTTAAATTTTGCTCTATACAAAGAAAATAATTCATAGTCGTTAATATTTCTGTATTTTTTCCATCTTGTCCATGCGTGGGATTTTTGTCTAAGTATATTCATTAGAGATTTAGTGAACCAGTTCGGAAAGTTATAGTTTTTAGATTTGTGTATGGGGGTATGTAATTTTATTATTTCGTAAATTTTTTCGTAGAAAATAGATACGGCTTCCTCGGGGGGTAATTCTCCTAGGAGACCACGCCAGTCAACGCCCTTAATTTTGGAATTAATTTCAGGATAATTAGACTTATGATAATTAAGTGGATTTCGGCTGATATGTTTAGTTAAGAATGAGGGCTTTCTAAAAGGTATTAATGAACAGAAGACTGGATGGTGGGAATCAATGGGAAGGAGCGAAATATTTGGAATATAAGTCTCTACGTGTGTATTGCAGAATAATAAATCTAGGATGCGCCCGTTACCGTTAATAGTACTATTATATTGGTTCATATCGTGTAGTGAGCAAAACCCTAGAAGATGACGACTAATATTAGAATATGTGTTGTTCACGGCACACGTCATATGAGATGTGGAGTCAATCCAATTCAGCTCAGGCAGGTTGAAATCTCCCGATAAGACTACGCATTCGATTTATTTTATTAGGTAGGTACTACACTACATCTGTCTTCGTACTATACAACTAAAACCTTTTTAATAAAACAATACTACAATATTCTTATTTAAGTTGGCATTTTACTTAGTTGGCATAAAATGCATACATGAATAATAAATAAATTTATGAATAACATTATCTTGTCTTGGAATCTAAATAAGGATGCACATTTGTTGAACAAGAGAACTAAGTGTGGGAGAGCCATGTTTCGGCACGAATGGGCCGGCTCGACAGTGATACCACGGCCTCATAGAAAACAGACGTGACGCAACGCTTGCGTTGTGTTTCGTCGGGTGAGTGAGGTTACCGGAGGCCCAATTACCCTACCCTTCCCCAATTCCTGAATCTCCAACGATCCTCAAACTCCTAATCCCCAAAAGGCCGGTAACGCACTTGTAACGCCTCTGGTGTTCCAGGTGTTCATGGGCGACGCCGATTGCTTACCATCAGGTGATCCGTCTGCTCGTTTACCAGCTTATGCCATAAAAAAAGAGAATTAGTAAATTAAACTGTATTGAAACTTACCACAAGCTTTTCGGACAGCTGAAAGACGGCTTTGTTGTCACCCTTAGGAGTAATCAAGGGTTCGTTTGGCCGATCGAACAGCAACTTAAGGTGTTCTACGACATCCCCCGACATATTCGACATGTCGACGGTTAGAAATTAAAATTAACTATTAAATATATTAATAATTGGAGTCACTCACTTCACAGAAACTGTGAAGTGGAATGGTTTGTCCTGGCAGTGGTGAATAATTTATACAGGGTGTCCAGTAGGCGAGTAGTAAGGGACGCGTGCAGTAACTCCGAGTGCAAAACCACACGGGAACTGATAGCACGGTGAGAACGAAGTAGTTATCGAGACTCATGGGGATTGTGGTGATGAGGCACATAGGTGACTATACTACCTTTTTTTTTTTTTTTTTTTTTTTTTAAGGGGGGAAAATCATCGAATGACTGCTCCCGCCTGGGTGAGGCGGAAGGGAGGAGGACTACCTAGTACTATACTAGAGGCATTAGCAGTACCGTTTTTACCATAAGTGCTCTCGGAGCCCGTGCCCCCATCGCCAGGAACCCCGAAGAACCGAAAATTTATATGACGGACACACACCCGCTTCCCGGGTTCGATTCCAGCACCGATCGATCAAATCTTTGTGTGATGTGACATAAACATAACATCACGCGTTTTATCTCCGAAGGGGTAGGCAGAGGTGTACATTACGGCACTTAACGAATTTCATTGTACGATGTAACACCCACTTTTCACTATTTATGTTATGAGTCCCATGTAATAGCAGGTGAGCCTATTGCCATTTAACGGGCTCAATTCCAGACACCGTGCTACTACTGAGAATTTAAAAAAAAATCCTAGTAATGCTTTGTCCGACCCGGGAATCGAACCCGAGACCCCTTGCGGCAGTCGCACTTGCGACTACTCGGCCAACGAGGAAGTCCTGGTGTGGTGCAACGTTAAAAGAAAATAAACATTCCAAAACGGGCCCCGAATTATTTTGTGCCCAAGGGCCCCAGCGTAGTCTAAGAAGTTCCGGCCCTAGGCATTAGCTATTGTCGCGGAGAACCTAACGAGTTACCGGGGCTCGGACTCGATGTGCAGGAGAAAGAACGGGGTGCCTTTTAGTCAGTAAGAGTCTGACACTCCCTCCCGCCTCACCCAGGCGGGAGCAGTTATTCGATGATTTTCCCCTCTTAAAAAAAGGCATTAGCTATTAGCTTTTACACACGACTCTTTTTGCACTTTCATTGTAGCTACCATGCTTTTGTAACCGTTGCAGCGCAGCGTGAACTGAGACCAAGTTCGTTAATAAAAATTCCACTAAGTATTCTACTGGTCTAACCTATCTTAACATCTTTAAAGGCACGGTTTGAGCTGTGGTCGAACAACAAATAATGTTCCGTGTTGTGCATGTGAAATTATGCGTTTTATATGCACCAGCTAAGTGCTACAATACAGTAGAAAATCGACAAGCAACATTTTTCTTGAAAAGATACAAATCTAACAATAAGCTGGTGTTATTGTCTAGTTACTAGACTCTAGTACCTAGTGCTGTTTATTTGTGGATGCCTCGAAACTTCGCAAGTGTAACAGCCGAGTAATAAATAGTTCAATGCCCAGGTCAGTCAGACATACATAATAATATTTTAATAGCCATTTTCACATCATTAATTTACAGTAATAGCATGTAGTATGGCAATAGGCTAGCTTGTATTACATGACCCTCATAAAATAACTAGTCAAAAGTGAGTGTCATTTCACTCTTCGCCTACACACTCAAAATGATTGGCTCAAATGGCATGTGCTTATTTCTTAAAAATCGTAAAAGCATTGAATGAACATGTGGTTAGTTTTGAACATTTTACAGCATTGAAAAGTTGAAATAATTTATTTAACAGAGTATACACTCAATTATATTCTCTGTAGCAAGGACTTTGAAATAAGGAAAAGGTTGGATAGCCTAAATTGCCATTGTTAAAAACTCTATGGCATTGAACCCTTGTTGTTGCACTAAAACTTATCATATCAGTGCACTAAACTCATAAAATAATAGAGCTAAATACATAGTTTGAGTGAAAGGTAGTTTTTATTAGATGAATGTAAAAAACTTATTACTAGGCAAATTAGCTGCTTACTACCTTATCATAATTTTTATTATCATTATTTGTGACCATAAACCACATCAGGAAGTGGGAATAGTATCATATTATGATAGAGATAAAAATAAGGCAATTATGTATATATCACAATTTTATTTGACCCACTGGGTGAAACAATAAATAAAAACTAAGAACAATAATTTTACTACTCCAAAATTGATGACTATTTATAAAGATCACAATGTTCACTATTTTCGTAAGTAGGTCTATTAAGGGTTTGCCTATTTTTCTGTTAGAAATGTGCAAACTGTCTCTAAGAACTTCTCTGGTTTCTGACTATGTACCCAGTGACCAGCACCATCTATGAACACCAATTCTGCTAAAGGGAAGTATTCCTGTATTTCTTTCAGATCATTTTTCCTGTAAGTAAAGACTTTTTTTATATTCTTTTATTTTTTTTTTATATTTTACACTATTATTTTAAGCTGAAGAGTTTATTTGTTTGAACACACTAATTTTTTATAGAACATTTGTGGTTTGCAACTGTTAATTACTCTTGAACTATTAACTAGATAAACAATGCAATAATTAAAATAAAATAAAATCATACAAAGAGTTATTTGGCTATTAACTGAATGATACATACCCTATGTAGTCGGACAAGGACCCTCCAACAAACAATGTAGGCCCACAATATTGAAGACCTCTCAAATTGGAAGGGAAACAGGATATATGTGACTGGAAGTTATCTTTCAAAGCTGAAATATTTACTCTCCAAGTGTAAGACCCAGTATTTGTTTGTACTAGATTAGTTATCAAAAAGTTTCTCAAGTTCACATCAGGAGTTATTATCTTTAACTGCTCATCAGCTAACTTCCGGGCTTTAGACATTGCAATTCCTGGCCGTATAGATACTGATGTCATGGCGTCAAATAAATTGGCCATCGAGAAGATCTGAGGGCTTGTCTTAACAGGCGAAATATCCACCACAATAAGACTTGATACCATATCAGACTAAAAATAAAAGAGTAATAATTAGTTTTCATAAATATGACTATCATAACATACATAATTATGTTCTAATTATAGTCTAACTGCTAGTACATTCAAACTACGTACAACTTACACAGAGCAGTGACAGCACCATAGCTGTGCGTCCGCCCATACTGTGGCCAAGAATTGATACTTTGGACAGCTCCAGTTTCTTGAGCAGCTTCATTACGTCGTGGGCCATATGTATGTAAGTATGTTGTGAAGCGTGTCTGCTGTCTCCATGGTTTCTAGCATCCACACTTATGACCTTCCTACCTGTCGTCCTGTGGATAGCCTTGCTCATGCTGTTCCAGTTATTTTTGGATCCTAACAACCCATGTAATATGACTAGAGGTGGTCGTCCTGCACTTTTCAAACTGCTTGTACTCTCGTAAGAAGCATAAGCCAAGTCTACAGCTTCTGCATTGTCTGACGTTGCTAGTGTTCTTTGTGCACATTGTATAGTACCAGGGAATAATTTATGACACACGGTTAGGTTACGGTAAACATTTTTAGGTATTGCAAGGGTGAGTAACATTTTTATTTGTGTTTTGTTAAATTTAGTTAAAATTTTGAAGGTTATTTAATTGACATTACTCTTGAGTTACATTTTTGATGACAGTGACAGTAAACAAGCAAAGATAATAGACAAGTCAATGTAGACAAGTAGTGACAACAGGAAGTCATTGTCATTGAGAAATTAGAAAAGCATTCAGCAGGCATCGACCATCGACCCCTATACTATACTTATTAAATACTCTTTGCATCGACCTCATAGGCTGTGTCTCCTCCTTTGAGTGAGTGTGGCTATAATCCTTAAAACAGGAATATGTCTAATCTAATCGACCATCTTGCAGTCTGTATATCCTTAGTTGGCCCAAGATAGACAAATAATTTATGATACGACTTCATGGTTGGCGCCTGTTGCGGATTCGTTTCCCGCGTTAGGCAAAAAGTGCTTAATGAATTTCCCTGATTAAATCGACCATGATTAGCTCAGAGTTAGGAAATTCGGTGGTGTTTCAACCCCATGCTTTCGGAAGCATACGGCTTTAGCCGTTGGGGGACCAACCGCTAAGGCGCAGGAGCTGACCTCTCTCACTTCAGTCGAATCAGTCTACCGCCCCAGGGAACAGAGAGTACACCTGCACTGCGATATAATATTTCCTGCGTAGTGGGTTAGTCTAGTTAAGCAAACTGGTCACCGCGATCGAAAATTAATTTTATAGATGTTAAAGTGTAACTTATTATTTAAAAAAGCGGGAAACGTAATAAAGATGCAAAGATTTTAGTATTTACAAGTTTAATTCCTTAAGTTCTAGAGCCAATCGTGTCATAATAACGAGCACATAGATGCTAGCTAGGTAATTGATCATAATATAGGTTCCATAGCTCTTATTACTAAGAGTACTGAGCATATTTTGAGATACCTTTGCAGGTTTTCGCACTTTTCGCCTGATGTTTCAAGTGTCAATGTAGTAGGGGGTGACTATAGGTAAACTGGACATGATTCCTGACTTTGTATGATTATTGAGTACCTACTTACTAATTTAGAAAAAACAAAATAAAAAACACATTTTAAATAAAAATATATCAACATTCTAATTAATAAAGCAAACTGTAGCATCACAAAAGCAATTTGCAAAGGAAGCGTAGGTATAGCTAACTTGTCCGTCAGTTAATTCTATATTTGAGCCTGATTCTTAGCGTTATAACTTAAAAACTGCACAACACTGTCAAAGAAGGCATTTGGCTGCTCATGGTGAACGTTGTGACCAGCGCCCTCAATGTAAACCAGTTGTGCTTTAGGGAAGAGCTTACGAATTGGTGTAAGATCGTCAGGTCTGAAAAAATATTCAATTAAAGTTTTATCAGTACTAATTCTGCTGGTCATCAATACCATTTAGTTTGTTTCTAACAAATAATGCACATTAAAATATCTAGGTAAGTCTTACGGAATGAAAGGTGATAGTTTGCCACCGATGAACAGTGTAGGGCCATTATATATTTTCCCCATCATTTTCGGGAAAGAAGAGATCTTGGGAAAATTATTCGCTATCGCCTCCACATTACACTTCCACCCAAACGATTTATCTGGTAGTTGTCCAATATTCATCAGAATAAAATACATCTCCTGATCGTTTTGGAATAATTGGGACTCTATCATCTTACTCTTCGCTGCACTCTTTGCTTTATTTAAGGTATCCAACCCCGTGAAGTCGACAGCTTTCATGACTTCCATAAGTTTGGGAAAAAAGACGCTTAACGTGCTTGTACGTTTACGTACCGGTGATATATCTACTACCACTAAATTCGACACCTTGGTGGGCTGTAACATAAGCGTAAGAAGCTAAAGTATAGAATAGTAGATATAGATGAATTTTGTCATAGCGAAGAAAATATTTCGTCGTGGTGGCCCGGAGGTTTAAGACGCCCACTTCTCATGCATAAGGGTGCGGGTTCGAAACCTACCAACGGCAAGTACCAATGTGACTTTTTCCGAGTTATATGTACTTTCTAAGATTATTCAGACGCCACTGACAAACGGTGAAGGAAAAACATCGTGAGGAAACCTGGGCTTATAATCTCTCATTATAAGTTTGAAATCGCCAACCCGCATTGAGCAAGCGTGGTGATTAATGCTCTAACCTCCTCCGTGTGAGAAGAGGCTTTGCTCAGCAGTGGGCATTTATAGGCTGTTGATGAAGAAAATATTTTACGTTTCATTTAGACTATAGGAGTCAACCGCTCTTGTTTAGTACACAAATAAAGCATCCAGATATGCACGTTAGTACGTAGAACAAAAAATAAAAAGGTCCAAAGTATGTCGAACCTCCGCTAGAGCCAGAGCCATTCCTGTTCTTCCTCCCATACTGTGGCCAATAATACTCGCTCTTTTGATTTGTAACTTGGTCATCAACTGAGAGACATCTGCAGCTAAATCGAGGTAGCTGTGAGCATCACTATGGGGACTTTCCCCGTGGTTACGAGCATCCACAGCCACTACGGGCTTGTTTGTGTATTCCGTGATCCTCTTACACATACTTTGCCAATTTCTGCTGGAACCAAGGACACCATGGAGTACTAGTATTGGTTCGCTGTCGGGCGTGATGCTAGGCCCATGGATCTTGTGCGCTAAATCAAGTCCTGTGGCTCGAGTTCGAATTATTTGCTTCAGACTACATTGTTTCTTTATGCTAACGCAATGCTGAGAGTTTAATTTACTGATTGTGCATAGTTTATCCATTTCTTTATTATTTTTGTATCAAAATACAGATGTTTGTACAGTCAAACAATATTTCTTGTCAATTTAAAACGTCATTTTAGGTTCAAAGAAAATATTACCTAACGTAAAATTTATTTTAGATTATTTTTAAAATATTTCACGTTGAAAAACAGGTAAATAAAAAAAACGTATATACGTAAATGCTTTCGTACAATAACTATCATGAGACATTATTATAATAATAATTAAACATTTATAGCTCAATCACGTGATCTATTCGAGAAAAGCTCTCCTCTAAGCTAGTTTCGGTCACAGGTCACACCGCGGCACCGAAACTCGTATAATTACGAACAGCATGCACCATGTGTGCTAGGATGCATTTTGCTAGGATGTGTGTATCAGACAAAATATTGTTCCTTGATCCACTTAAGGTACCTATAGTTAACAACGTAAAACTCAAGAGAAGAAAAAGAAGAGTGCCTTCCTTGACTTTTCCAGGTAGACAATGAAATTGGTAACTTTTTACATACATTTATTACAAATTCTTCGTTAAATAGGTAATGACACTACCTCTATTGTTACCATGCACGGTAATACGTCATTTTAATTAAAATTATTGCACGTTACTATTAGAATTAGGTTCATATTATGTTATTTGAATCTTTGGTTTCTGGAATAAAAACTCTGCGATCGCAGCGAAGAATGCATCTGGGTCCTCTTCATGGACGTTATGTCCAACGCCTTCGACGTAGACCACGCGGGCGTTGGGAAACAGGTGTTGGATGCATTGCAAGTCTTCAGGACTGGAATCAACAGAAATTGTCAAAATCAATATACCGTGACAGTCGTGGACAATGAAACTCTTCCACATATAAAGTGTTTATTACGCACATGCTTACTAAGCTTGAAGAGTAGGAGTAGTGAGGTGAGTGATAAATATTTTCTTGTCTGCCATCATCAAACGGCAAAGGAAATTGTCGTACGTCAAGCTCGAATTCTGACTCCCTCTTAATATATATAATATAATATATAATAGGGAGTTGGAGGGAACGAGGTGCTGCTGATTTAGTTTATAAGAAGAAGAAGTAGTAACACAAGCGTTCCAGTTGCAAGTTTATATACTTATATAGTTTATAGGTGTCATCGCGGTGTTTGACAGTTTAAAGTCCGTAATAAATATCATACCTACTTTACTTCTAAACTACTAAAGTAAAAATAGAAACGATTTCAATAAAATACAAAGTCAAAATCTTACGGTATAGCGTATGACAGCCTGCCTGCGACGAATAGCGTAGGGCCATAATAATATGTTCCAAACATATCGGGAAATGAGTTGATATCGTCAGTTGTGTTCATTAAGGTTTTAAGATTATATCTCCACCCTATGGACTTATCAGCCAACTTTCCAATATTCAGTAAAACAGTTTGCAGTTCATGCTCAGAATGGAATAAATTAAGTTTCAACATTTTACTTTGGGCAAAATCCATTGCCTTCTGCAAATCCATTCCTTTAAAGTCAATTGTGGACATGGCTTCCATGATCTTAGGATATTCAATATCCATAGCACCTGATTTCGACGCTGGTGATGTGTCTACGACGATCAAACTTGCTACTTTGAATGGCTGCAATACAAACATATGTAGGTAGGTACTTCCTGCAGAAGTCATTGAATATTTTGATCGATAAGACAAAACATATTATTTGTTAATACGGATCAAGATCAAATAACACCAAGTGATCGGCAAAGTTTCCTACAGTTATTAGAAAAATATAAAAAAATTCCAAGTCAGATAGTTTTTAAATTACAATGACTTATGTATTATCCACGAAAAAGTACACCTTGTTGTGCCAGTCTTTTGACTTTTCTTGCTACAATTGTTTATTTTTTCATCTATATTTTTGCTTACATTATCTTGATTAGTAGTTCAGTACTATGGAATCCATAAATTCTGAACCAACTACTTTAGTTTAGAAAAAATATTTTTTTTTGATGAACCAAGTAATTTCAATAAAATTTCCAATTTAGTTTAAGTGACTGTGAAAACCATTTGTACTGTGGTAGTAGTGGCAAATTTCACCAAAGTTGGCGCATTTAATAAGGATTCTAAAATGGAATACCTACCATTCCCAACATTTTTTCTTAAATTCGACACAAAAGAATATTTTTCAACAAAATTCCGTTTCGAACAATTTATTGGGACTTGAGCTTTTGCAGTGGTGTAATTTGTTTTAGTACATGGCAAACACGTCACTACTTTGAGTATACTACAAAAGCTGTAAATAAATTTTTCAAACCTCGGTCAGAGCCAAAACCATCCCAGTCTTGCCGCCCATGCAGTGACCTATAATAATACTGCGCTCAATAGAAAATTTGGTCATTAAATTGGAAACATCTGCAGCCAGGCTATAATAATCGTGTTCAGGGGTGTAGGGGCTATCTCCATAGTTGCGAGCGTCCACTGCTATCACAGGTTTATTTGTAGACGCTGTTAAATAACCGCACATTTTTTCCCAGTTTCTTTTACTTCCGAGACAGCCATGGAGCACTATAATTGGACAGCTGCCTGGGGACGGAGTGCGCCCGTAGATTCTGTAAGCCATGTTAATTGCTGTACATTTTTCTCTGACCACTTTATTTGACCGGTATATTGCTTTTATGCAATGCTGACACTCGTTTCCGATTTTACGGATTGTTAGGCCTAAGATATCCATTCCATTTCTGTTCTATTTCCAATGTCATAATTGAAGAATGGTGGCAGATGGAAAATAAAGTTGTCATGATGGATGCCAAAGAGTATATAAAGTAGTTTGTGTGCGTATGTGTGCGTAAAGAACTATTCATAAAGAAGGTTGCATGACAGCAGGACAATGAATGTGTACAATAAGAGTGTGTAAGAAACAAAAATGAGAGAGAATCATTAATCGCAGAGTTTAATCTGAATTTTCTAGATGTTAGAGCCGCCACACACGGACTGTTTAACCCCTCGAGCGTCCTTATGAGCACCCGGTGGATCATAAAAAAAAATGCTCCATGCTGCTTTCTCTTTTATAAAATCTATTATTAATGTTTTGTTTTTATTTTGACTGTATTTTTTATTTCTATTGTAATGATCCTTGTTTTCGTGTGCCAATGGCCAAATAAATGCATTTTCTTTCTTTCTTTCTCTAAATGTCACGTGTGCACCCGTTGGATCATAAGGAACGCGGACGCTCGACGGGTTAAAGCAGCCAGGGGCGACTGCGACTGCATAATGAGCTACAGACTTCTACGTACATATACAGAATGGTCAAGCAATTCATCGTCCGGTCAAGCAGTCGCCAGGCATAAGCTGACTGCTCGAGCCGTCGACTGCTCTCGTGCCCCAGCCGGGCTCGCGCTCTTTAATGCACGTCGTGGACGCTTTACATTCTTAATCCAAAATCTGTAGATGGATATGGGTCGATTTTTGACAATACTTGTATGGCTTTCCGTCAAAAATTTAGATTAATTTTAATCCAGAGATTTTGGGTAAGATTGGTTATTAGTAGTAATTAAGTAGGATAGCAAATATATCTGATCGATGATCTTGTTTCATTTAGATTAGTTATTACCTAAGCTAGTATTAAAAATAAGACGGTACGGGGTTGATTAAAAAAAATGTTAGATGTGCATCAAAAAAAAAATTCAACACAAAAAACAACCACGGTACCAAAAAGCGATACTAAAACAGTCCAAATTATGTTCATAAGTATTGGAAATAAAATAAAGATGATATTATAATAATAATATTTATTACAATAATATTTTACATATTTGTAATAATACACTTATTAACAATGTATAACTAACATAAGATTAAGGCAAATGGGGGGGGGGGGGGGCTGGACATGGGCGTTGCCAGCCATGACCTCAGGATGGAGCAATGTGTTGAGGCTGTTCAATGGTGCCATATTGATTATCGGTATATCGCATCAAGGTGTTGAAGCATTTGTATAAACACAATCGAAATAGACATAGAAATATAAATAGACAAGAAATACGATCGCTAACATATCCCAGTGGATTAGCAAGCTGAAGTGGCAGTGGGCGGAGTAGCACGTACAACTAGTGGCCGACGGAGCTAAATGATGATCACATACCAGCAAGTGAAGCACTGGACGTCCAATTTCTCATCGTACCGGCCGATCTTGAATTTCTTGGGGATGGTTTCCTACATCTGTGGCTGATGATGACGAAACGAAAAATATGGTTGCGGCTATTTACGCTCTTTTATTTTAATTACAGATTTTGGTGTCGACAATAAATTTCTTATAAATACTTAGTTTTAGTACCTAGATGATTTAGATAACTGTCAGGTCTGAGGTAGAGTGGGGCAACCGCTCCACCCTGCCGCACCGTGGCTACGCCCATGGAGGTGGTGTTAAATGGCGTTTGAAGTGATGAGTTCTAATAAAAGATATGGTTAACTCCAAAAAAGACGCCGGATCATCGATGTGGACGTAATGCCGTGTCTTGGGAATATACGTAACCACTGCTCTTGGAAAAATATCTCGAATATCTGGTAGGTCGTCGGGCCTGCAAAAATTGGGTCAGTGGTGAGTTGCGGGGCGACAGGGTATGAAAATTAAAAATATAATTAGTCCGTAAGTTAGGTAATGAAAAAATATTAGACACGTATTTTTTTATTTTGTCGTATAATAAAACAATACTTAGATAAAACGAATCAAAGTTTAGGAGTGGGGGCTAAAACGTCATTCCTTAGTATAAAATGTACTGAGAAGTGACGTCACGCGACATTTCAAATCAATATATCTTCGAAACTATTCGTTTCTGTGAGAAAATAAAAAATACGTGTCTAATGTTTTTAAATAATCTATCAGACGGACATTAAAATAAAAATTAGTCGTCTACCCCATTCAAATTTCAGCAATAAACAGTTACAAAGTAAGTAGGTGGTTTTTTGCCCAATTGTTTATTGCAAAGGAGAGAAAAAGGTAGATCTAATGAACATGGGCGCTGACGTAGAGAGAACTTATGTATGTCCGTAAAAATTTACAAACTTTATTTAATGTAAAGACGAAAAGTTTGTTTGTTTGTTTGTTTATATGAACGCGCTAACCTCCGAAACTGCTGGTCCGAATTGAATAATTATTTTTATGTTGGATAGTTCATTTATAGAGGAAGATTATAAAACATCACGCTACGGTTAATAGGAGGCGAGTAGAAAAGGTGAGTAGCTGGTATAACATATTATTCTTTATGGAAGTGAGCCCCGCCAATAATCTATAGGTAAGTATAGATATATAAAAATGAATTCCTTTTTCCCTTGGTCATGGCATCACACGTGAATGGCTCGACCGATTTCACTAATTCTTTTTTGTTGTATTTGTTATTATTAAATTCTGAAAATCCTACGGGAAAGGGAGAAAACGGGAATAGAATAATTATCATTTGCGTGTGTCCTTACAAAAGACAAATTACATTGAGGTGAGAAATTTCAACTTACGGGATTAACTCTGACAATTGTCCCCCGACGAACAAAGATGGCCCAAAATATTTTTTCTTTTTCAACGATTTGGGGAATTCCGCAATATTTTGGATATGTTTCATCAGCACATCAATATTGACTGTCCAACCGATTGTGTTGTCTGTTTTTACTTTAATATTCGAGATAATACCGTTCAGCAGGTAATCGTCAGATATTACAGTTTTCAATTGATTTTTAGCTTCTTTCTTAGCAAGATTCTCTTTTCTTGTCTTTTTAAAATCAACAGCTTTCATCGCAGTAAAAATTTTCGGGAATTCATCTCTATAGTGCACTGACGGCGACACAGGAGATACATCAACAACTAGAACACCAGTCACTTTAAGTGGCTGAAAACGTGAATAGAACGGTAAAGTTAAGGATGACAAAAAATAAAATGTGCGTATGCATAAATATAGAATTCGACATTCATGATTTTTTTTATGGGACAAGATCGCCACAGTCTCCCAAAACCGCTGCAACTCCTGTAAGCCCGGATCTACAGTAGATACAACCATGAAAACACCGGAACACTGAAGTACGGCGCGTCCCAGGGACATGAGTAACTGTCTTGGTTCCCGCAACGAAGTGAATCAGAAGATATTATAAGAGGAGAAGAAGAAAAAACTATGGTTTATGGATGTTTTATTCATGATTATGTATCAGCCAGTTAAGAACAGTTTAATTTATCAGCCGATGTTACCTTACCGATAACAGAGCTGAGCACATAGCGGCCTTCCCTCCCATGCTGTGACCGAGCAAGCTTGCTTGTTTAACGCCTAACTTTTCAAATAAATTCATAATGTCTGAAGCCATATCTTCATACTTGTGAGAATTGACTTGCGGACTATCACCATGGTTTCGTAAATCTACGGCCACTACTGTTCTTTTTGTCAGGTTGAATATAATCTTTCCTATGGATTCCCATTGTTTTTTGTTCCCCAACAATCCGTGAAGTAGAAATATAGGCGGTTCTTCTGCGGCACCTTCACCAAGTATTTTGTATGAGAGGACAACGGACCTGTTGCAGATCCTATTTGCGTATACAATTTGTTTAAACAGCCCACTATATTGAAACACAATTGAATGGAACCTCCCTTTCATATTCGAAGATATAAGACTATTCTGTAACACTGTACGCATTCATTATGATGTACTTTTACTTTATTTATAATTCAATAATTTGATTGTTTTATTTTGACATTGATAAGTAAATTGCAGTAGACACTATCAATAACCATAAACTCGTGATTTTTTTTCATAATAGGCTCAACAACTACAAAGAATCCAATCTTTTTTGTTTTATTTATGTAATGTATTATTTACACAATCTTCTGAAACAACAACTTTGGCACGACATTGACACGAAGGACATCTGTCCTTTTCTTAAGTCTGATTACGTCTTCGATCAACAATAGCAACTAGATAAAGGGTTACGTACAAAATCAAGCTCCAGTTCTGTCCGTGTAAATAATAATAGTAAAAAAATAACAAACTGAAAAAAATGTTTTAAAATGGTTTTAAGTTCAACCTAATAACAACCATGGCACCTAATAATAAAGTGATAAATCGTCAAAGTATTATCTAATACTTACGACCATTCGTCACATAAGACAAGAAAAGCATTTTCTTACTCCTGTCATGTAGAAATTAAAAGACATAAGTTATACAATATCTAGTTTGAATTCAACCTTAAGCGAGAATAAATAAAGATAATTTTTCCGTTATTGCCTTGTGATCTATATCGTTTTGTTTTGTTTCGTTTTGCTTCTTCGAATTTTGAATTTCGCTACAGGAGGTATGTATGGAGTCGCGTTAAACACTAAAATAATTTTATTTTCGGGATCTTAGTATACATCACTTATTTTTATTAGCGGTACGTTTTTGTGTATCATATGTTTATTTACTTTGTCATTAAAAGTCTAAGTCAAAATCATTTATTCCTGTTAGACCAGGAAGGCACTTTTGAACGTCAACAATATAAATTTAAAAGTGAAGCTATTTGCTCATTCCAAGGTGTAGATTCCTATGGAGAAGAACGAGCAAGAAACTCCAAAGGTTAGGTACTCTTTTCCAATCAGGTTACAATACAATTTTTTTTTACAATACAAATCGACTCCATGGATCCACTGTTCTGTTTAAACAAATGTTTGTGCGCGTGTTGGCGAGGCTTGGCCAAGGGATCGCCAACACACGCACAAACATTGGTGGCGATGGTTTATAATTGGTAATTTTGTCTAATTTGATATTATTTACTAATTTAAAAGCTTAAAATATAACTTATACTTTATGTACTTATCGAAAGTAAGACACTCTGGCCGTTATACTGCTTTTTCGGTTATTATTTTTGCAACTTGCAATTACGCACTGCAGCATCGCGAGACGTGATTACGTTGGCCATGTTTGGAGCATACTAAACAAAATAAGAGCTCACTTCTCAAGTGAGCTCTTATTTGTCGAGACGATTTTCTTGCGCCGACCCGATATCTAGTTGTTATTGTTGATCGAAGGATTACGTAGTAAACTAGTAACCCATTACACACGCACACATGAATAACCTACTGACATTATGGAGCTTCAATAATTTCTAGGTGATATTTAAGTGTGGGAGAGTCATGCTTCGGCACGAATAGGTCGGCTTAACCGGAGTGATAAAACGGCCTAGCAGAAAACCGACGTGAAACAACGCTTGCGTTGTGTTTTGTCGTGTAAGTGAGGTTATCGGAGGCCCAATTATCCCTCCTCCCCCTTCCTCAATCTCCCCAATCCCTGAATCCCAAACAATCCTCAAATTCATAATCCTTGGACGCACGCAAAACGCACAAAACGCACTTGGACCGCCGCTGGTGTTCCAGATGTCCATGGGCGACGTTGATTGCTTACCATCGACTACTTTCTATACCTATAAAAATCTAAGTCTTGGGGTGTATCCAATTAAAAACTGATATTTTCCAATAACTTGTAGGTAATTTACATTCTAAAATTTATACCCAAAAATTTCGTTTTTTATCAAAATTTAGAAATTTAAACGCAACTGGTCTAGATCATAGCCTAGGCTGGCTATGATCTATCTGGTAGTCAATTAATACTTTTCTTTTGCCGCCCCCTTCATCGCGTCCTCGTGTGCTGTGCACGCTTTGCCCGCCAGTAGTGTAGAGTAGCCATTGAATTTATTTCCCCCCTTTAAAAACGGCCTGCATTCACAACCACTAACTACAGTAATAAAGCGGTTATGAAAGATTTTATTAGTTTTACTTTAGGTGATTTCAGAAGACTCTAAAGGCGTTAAAGTTAAATAAGTGTAAAAACTTGAGGTAATAGGAATTTTACAGTTCATAGAATTTGATATTTACTCAGTACTCTATATTTACAACGACGGTAATAGACTATTATCAATGGATGATGTTGATGTAACGACCATTTAAGTATCGTAATAGTGGTGATTGGAGGTTTTCAACGCCGAAAATAGACATTGTGTGTGTTGCATCAAACGACATGAGTTGCACAATTCAAGTACTTATTACTGATTGTACTCATATGCATTATGGCTGAATGTTGTTCACACAGAATTATCTATCCGATATAGAAGCTTCTATTTAATTTTAGATATGAACTGTTTTAGGGTCTCTTTTTGATTCTTCTGTAATCAAATTCGGGACGACGATAGTAAGGTAAACCATTATATAAATTGAAGATACTATATGCTCATTCATTGCCTCGGCGATTAGAATTGTAAGTTTAGCTTGATTTTTTTCTTCTTGTTTTATTGTTAATCTTGCATGTTTATAGTATCTACATTGTAACTTCAATTAGGTTTGACCAATTTGGTTTAGGTCACTCTTTTGTATGAAGCGGAAATATACGGGTTTTCTAGTCTAACGGTACCTACCAATTACAGATGTACATACTTATTTCGTGTTTTTGTCCTCATTAGGAGAAATCAATTGAAGTGAATCGAACCAAGTTGGTAAATGTTTGATTGAACTGTTACAATTTATATAAATTATAATGTGACCTCATGATTTTTTAATCTTGACGGTTGTTGTTCTTTTTCTAAGTTTGGAACAGGGGTAGAGTTATAAACCAAATAAACCATTGGTTATTTTTTTTCCACGAAAACTCGGGCAAAGCCGCTGGTAGAAATTAGTTATGTATAAATTAATTCAACTGAAGAAATATTTCAATCCCCAATCCCTAAAAGTCCAACAGTCATTGATTTTCTTTTACTGAGCAGTTACAAAATTATCTACTTAAGTTGAACGATATAATTTTTAACAATCCTCAAGATAAGTTCATCGTTTTGGGCGACTTTAATCTAAGCGGTATTGACTGGCTACATACAAGCGATTCTTTTTATCTACCCTCAAACTTATCACATAACGATGAATACTTACTAGTGGATGAGATGCAGTTACACGACCTTTATCAATACAATGGAGTCTTAAATAATTATGGTAGGATTCTAGATCTTGTTTACTCGAACAACTCAGTGACTGTTATTGGCGTGGACGACCCGTTAGTACCAATTGATCCATATCACAAAGCACTATCCATAACAATTAATTTCGTACAGTTATCATTTTTACCACCTAAACCAAGGAAAAAATACCTATATAATAAGGGTGACTATACTTCTATTAATGATGAGATCTCTAGGGTTGACTGGGTTACCGAATTTCACAAGCTTACGCTAGAGGAATCGGTGGCCTTCTTCTATACTTCTGTAAACAATCTTCGTGACAAACATATTCCCATTAAATCTGTTGATCGTAATTCTTACCCGGTTTGGTACAGTACGTCATTACGTAAAGTCCTAAGAGAGAAACTAAAATATTTCAATAAATATAAAACGTATAAGCGTAAATCTGACGCAGAGACTTTTAAACTGTTGCGTGATAGGGCTCGGCGACTTGAAGGGCTGTGCTACAAGCAGTATACAGAATCTGTCGAAAATTCTATCGCGTCTAATCCTAAACATTTCTGGTCCTACTACAAAGCACGCTCAGGTTGTAATAATATACCCAGTAGCTTAAGGTACTCAGATAAGCTTTTAACTTCTGGTGAGTCAATATGTAACGCGTTTTCTGAGTATTTCCTGTCAACTTTCCTGGATCAGTCAATCGATTTTAGTAACTCCTCACCGGACTGTGATCCATCTAATATAGGTCAACCCTCAGACATTGACCGTGTGGACTTCACGGTAGCAGATGTAGGAAGGCTTTTATCGGGGCTGGATCCATGTAAATCTGCTGGTCCAGACAATGTCACATCCATATTTCTTATCAAGACTAGTGATAGTATAGCCTTACCTATATTCCTCTTATTTCAAAAATCTCTGTCTTGCTGTCGGGTGCCTCAAATTTGGAAATGTGCGTTTATTACACCTGTTCATAAAAAGGCTCCAAAACTGATATAGTGAACTATAGACCAATATCTAAACTATGTATAATTTCTAAAATTTTTGAAAAAGTCGTATATACCCAGGTTTATTCTGCAATTAAACAATCCCTCAACTGCAGCCAACATGGATTCGTGAAAGGTCGTTCTACAAATTCTAACCTAATTGTATTTAACGACTATCTATCCCAGTCCATGGATGCTGGCTTCCAGGTCGACGTGGTCTATACTGACTACAGTAAATGTTTTGACAGAATAGACCACATTATGCTGCTTCGTAAGCTTCAAAAAATCGGTATAAGGGGTGATTTACTTAGATGGTTCTCTTCGTACATTGATAAAAGATCTCAGGCTGTCGTTATCAATAACTATATGTCTGGCTGGGTTGCTATACCCAGCGGTGTTCCACAGGGCTCTTTGATCGGTCCGTTGCTGTTTTTGATATTTGTGAATGACATTGTCGATTGCTTCCACCATAGCAAAGTCATTTGCTTTGCTGACGACATGAAAATTTACACAACGATCAGATCAGTGGCGGATGCTAGACGCCTTCAGGAAGATCTAGGTAGACTGGATGGGTATTGTTTAAAAAACAAATTAGATCTTAATCCAGTAAAATGCTCTGTGGTAACCTTTAGTCGAAAGAAAAATAATGTATGCACCCAATATTACCTCAAGGGCCATCTGCTTGGTAGACTCTATTCGGT